AATGATGAGAGTAGCAATACCAGGAGAATAAGGGGAAGGTGGGGAGAGAAAGAGGGAACTGATCACAATGATCAACATATAAACCCCTCCCTGGGGGACAGACAACAGAAAAGTGGGTGAAGGTCAGTGTAAGACATGAAAAAATAATAATTTATAAATTACCAAGGGTTCATGAGGGAAAGAGGAGGGAGTGAAGGGAAGGAGGGGAAAATGAGCTGATATCAAGGACTCAAGTAGAAAGCAAATGTTTTGAGGATGATGATGGCAGCGTATGTACAAATGTGCTTGACACAATGGATGTATGCATGGATTGTGCTAAGAGCTGTATGAGCCCCCAGTAAATTTATTTTTAAAAAGAGAGAAGAAAATGTCCTAAAACTGTGGTGATGATCATACAGCTCTTTTTAATATGAATAAGCTATTGAATTGGATTATATATGAACCATATGGCAATAAAACTTTTGAATAAAAGTTTATCAGAACGAGAGGAAAAAATTTACAGCTTTGGAAACCCAAAGAGGCAGTTCTACTCTGTCCTGTAGGGTGACTGTAAGTTGATGTCAACACAATGGCAATGTTTTTTGTTTTGTTTTGATTTTAGCACTGCCGCTTCTAGGGCTCTATCGTTTGTGTCTGGAGGGACCCAGTCAACTGGGTAGGGTTAGTTTCCCTTAATGCATAGGGATCAGAAGACTTCCTGACTTGTGTAGATTGCAAAAGAAAATAGCGGTGGCCGACTTTAACCCGGCACTGCTGCTTCTTTGGTAGGTTTATCACATCTCTTTCTAATGCTGCCAATGCTTCCCATCGCATTCAAAATGAAGAGCACATCTCCAGCCGTGACATTCAAAACTAGCATGCACCTCCACAACCTTGTCTGACGGAACGCTTCCCTGTTACTCCTTAAGCCATGATCATCTCTTTTATATGCCTTACATTTTCCATCCCACCACTCAGTTGAGGGCCTTCGTACATGTAGGTCTCTCCAACTATAAGTCCTTTTTCTCTGTTTCCTTCAACCAGAAAGAAGAAAGAAATCTTTTTAAATGCAGGACCATTTAATTCAGAATCCCACATTCTGTATACTGTTCTTTTCTTTCTTTGTGTGGATCGAAATATTATTATGGATTTAGGTGATTTTTCACATTTTCTGGTAAAATTTGTGAAGGAGATGCTTTTCTGTAGGCTCCTTTGTCAATTTTGACATACCCTGTTTCTCCGAAAGTAAGACATCCCCCGAAAATAAGACCTACTTATAGTCTTGCAGCCAGAGCAGACAGGAAGCGCGAGGTCTCTTTTAATAAAACAATAAATGTGTACCGTATTTTTCTTCATGGAAAAATAAGACATCCCTGAAAATAAGACCTAGCTCATCTTTGGGAGCAAAAATTAATATAAAACGCAGTGTTATTTTCGGGGGAACAGGGTAGACAAATTCCCAAAGGGGGCTTAATAAAGATCAAGGTGCTGGGCCACATAATGGAAGGTACCACATGGCTACCGATTACTACTGAGAATATGACTTGGAATTTTTTTTGGTTTTGTTGTTACACTACCGTATCTGATTATTCCTAATCTACAGAGTTTTTTATATCTTAAATGGAACCATTCATACTGAAGCTTAAATATACTTCTAATAATTTACAGTCTCTCAGTGTTAACCGCTGACATTGTGTACATTAGGTATACAATTATATCTAAATACCTTTATAAGTAATTATTTTTCCCTGAAACCTTTTTATTAGTGTAGTTGAAAATATAATTGAGTACAAGGTTTAAGATGTGAGCAGACTTGTTTCATTATACTTTGCTATATTGCACTTCATAGTGTACTAATTCACTTTTACAAATCGAAGGCTTCTGGTAACTTTGTGTGTCTGTGTCACATTTTGATAATTTAAGAAATATTTTCAACTTTTTCATAGTGCTATCATGTAGTGTAAACATAACTCTGATGTGCAATGGGGAAACTGCTATGTGACTCAGTTTACAGCAATATCTTGCCGTATTGTGGTGGCCAGGAACTGGACGGCATTGTCTCTAAGGTACCCCGTGCAGTTTTATTAATGAGAAGAAGAGAATCCGCTTTATTTGGATGACATTTTTTCGTAGTTGGGGTTCACATGTAAATATCAGTCTCAGCTCGGGGCAGTACAGGCAAGGGCTGAATTTGCCCTACGGGGCCATAGTTTGCCTCTCCCGGCTGTAAGGTTCCTAAGAGTGGTTACAACCCCTAAGGCTGAGGTAGGGTGAACCAGAAAGGAACTGGGAATCTTGGAAGAGCTGTCCTCCGCCCTCAAACCCCATGATAGACATTCTGAAGGAAACTCTTTGGAGAACATGGACTGCAGCTCGACCAGGAAGGCCGCTAAGGTGAACGCTAGTAGACAAGTGTAAACTTGAAAAGTAAGTCTACTCCTCTTGCTCCGGCATTACAGTGTCTCTCAAGCACCCTCTACTGGCAGTAAAAGCATCAAGCCAGCTGACAGAGACTAGTTCATAGGGACTGGTTTCATAAAACAGAACCAAAGGGGGTGGATTTGGACCTGAGAAGGAGTCCCGGTGTCACTGTTGGATAAGTGTTGGGCTGGTAATCACAAGATAAACAGTTCAAATTCACTAGCTACTCTGCAAGAGAAAAGATGAGGCTGTCTACTCCCATAAAGATTTACAACATTGTGTATCATATGGTGATACACAAGCTAAAACAAAATATCCTAAGGGATTTTTGTTTTGACTTTTTTGGTCTTGTTTTTTAGTGTTCCAGTGTGATTTAGGTGAAGGTTTACAGAGCATATCATCAAGTTTTTGTTTGCTTTTAACTTTTATTTGAATTATTTGGGAGTTTATTTCAGATAATCATTTTTATATTGAACAATTTAAGTAACTTATCAAACCTCCTCTTATCCTCTTATAGGTTATTATCTTCCTTTCACCCATGTTGACCCTCTAGCCCAGCGGTTCTCAACCTGTGGGTCGCAACCCCTTTGGGGGTCAAACAACCTTTCCACAGGAGTCGCCTGCAAAATTGTAGTTATGAAGTAGCAACGAGAATCGTTTTATGGTTGTGGGTCACCACACACGAAACTGCATCAAAGGGTCGCAGCATTAGGAAGGTCGAGAACCACTGCTCTAGCCTATTGCTTCCTCTTCTTCCCCATTTCCACCCACACATGGGAACCATCAAAGTCCGTTTCTTTTGGTATGAAGAGCTTTATCTTTATCTTTTCTTTTAAAAAAGTGTTCCTGAAAAAAAAAAAGTGTTCCTGTACAATGTTTGTCCTTTTGTAATTGACTGAATTCATTCAACATAATGTCCTCCAAATACATTTGCAGAAAAAATGGAAACAGAACCCAGGCCTCAGTCCATATAGGAAAATGAGCTCAAGGTAGACTGAAGACCTAGGGTTTACGTTTAAGTCTTTAGTTTATCTCGAGTTCATTTTCCTACATGGACTGAGGCCTGGGTCCTGTTTCATGTTTTTCTGCAAATGTAAATCCAATTTTGATAGCACCATTTGTTGAAGAGATTAGCTCTTCCTATTTAATGTCTCTTGACCCTTTGTCAAAAATCAGTTGTGTGTAGACGGTTTTATTTCTGGGTTTTCTGTTGTGTTCCACTGGCCTACAGCTCTGTCATTGTACCAGGAGCAGGCTGCTTTGACGACTGTGGCTGAGTAGCGCTGTTTCCAGGTCAGGAAGTGAGGGCCTCCCACTTTGTGCTTCTTCAGTAGTGCTTTGCTTATCCTGGATCTCTTTCCTTTCCACATAGATTTGTGACTCATTTTTCCATTTCTTTAAAGAATGATGCTGGAATGTAGACTGGAATTGCATTATGCTTATAGGTTGCTTTGGATGGCATTGACATTTTCACAATGTTGAATCTTCCATGGACATGGAAGATTCTTCCGTTTATATAGGTCTCTTTTGGTTTCTTGTGGTTGTGGTTTGTAGTTTCCCTTGCACTAGTCTTTTGTTTCTCTGGTGAGGCTTATTCCTAAATATTTCATCTTTTGCATGGCTATTGTAAATAGTATTGTTTTCTTGATTTCACACTAGGAAACTTCCTTGCTACCCTAATTTTACCATTGATTAGCAGTTATTACATTGTGTTATAGGGCAGGTCATGAAGGATTACTGGATGTAAAATGGCAATTTCCTGAGAATTCTGACCAAGCCAAGTTGTCACAAAACCTAACTAACACATGTATTATAATTCATAGAATTATTCACCAAAAAACAATTTTACTGTGTGTGAATCTTAAAAATTGAATTTAATGTTAAATCAGTATAGGAAAATATTAGGAGATAATACACCCAAATTACAATATTTCTTACTTAAAGTTATACACTTTTCCCATGAATAAATTAGTTTAATAATCAATTTAATAATAAACAAAGCTATACAAGAACTCTAAACTCATAGCGGTGCATGTAGTTTCTGAAAAACAAAACAAACCAAAAAAACCCAGCCCTTCATACTATATTAGTATCTGTCACTGTGCATCAGGGGTCACTGGGACGGTGTAAAATGTAAAGGAGACTGTTTATAAGATTAGGAAAGGACACAATTATCTTTAGAAAGTGGAAGTTATAGTGCACACTTTGCTTCTCTAAAGCCTCTTTCATCTGAACTTTTATTTTGTAGAATTCTCCACTCAACTCTGGTACCAATACATGATACAGTGGCATCAGGCAGTGATTCCGTGTCTTCACTGTGCCCCTTCCTGAAAGGAGGGTAGGGCGAGCGTGTGCTCCCTCGTTTGTAAAGTGGAACGGGGGCACGGAAACATGACAGTATAGTCCGTGAGCAGTAAAAATACCTTTAATTTTAACTTTTCTTTTTAAAGACAGACTGTTGTTTGCCAATAATGTAAAAGATTTTTTTCCTTAGAGAAATGACTGGATATAATTTGAAATGAAATAAGTGTTATATACCTTAGGGAAAAATAGTTGTTTTTCATTGAAAATTCACAGGTTCCTTCTTTCTCTCTTTTTAGGATTTTATATTGCACGTTGATTCTGCCTCTGTACTACCTCGAACCTTTCTTTTCATACATCTTCCTCAACTTCCAGCTGATGCTCCTACAAGCCCTTCATCTTTACTGGTGGTTTTTAATCTTGAAGATGCTCAAAAGATGCATATTTTCCAAGGTAAGAGCTGCCCAAGTGTGTTAGTCTGGGTCCTTTAGAGAAACAAATCCACAGAAACTCATGTATAAGAGAGAGTTTTATATAAAGGTAAGTGCACCTCAAGAAAACATCCCAACCCAGTGCTGCCCAAGCCCACAAGTCCAACATTAACCCATATGTCCGACACCAATCCACAAAGTCCTCCTCCATCTCACTAAACACATGCAATGATGCCGACTGCAGGAGGAAAGCCGAGTCAGTGAACGTGTAAACATCTCAGTGCTGGCAGGGTTCTCACACGGCTGCTCCAGCCCCCAGGGCTACATCAGGGTAAGTCCACGTAGCTTCTCCTCAGAGATGTCTTGCAGGAAGTGAGCCTTGCCAGCTGAAGCAGGGAACTGGCTAAGGCAGCTGCACCCTGGTCCCACCATCACAAAGCAAGAGACCTAAGAACTAGAAAGGCGAGGTTCACTGAGCCATTTATCCTTCTGCCCTTCAATTAACTCCACATGTGTTTATTGACCAGGTTGGCACAATAAACTAACTACCTCACCAAGTTTATTTCTCATAACATATATATTCCATAGCCAGATTAAAGATGATGTCCCATAGGATTACTGTACTCTCACCAAGCTATAGAACTAAAGCCCCAAACTGAGTTACAAAAAACCATAATGAAAGCCCTTCTATTATCTAAGATGTATCATGAATTTATTGATATATTGCATTAGGTAAATCTGCTACACAAGACTTTTTGTGAGTATTGAAGACAAGATTGTTTCTTTGAGGACTAAGGTATGCTTGACCCAAGCCTTGGTATTCTCAATTGCATCATATGCAAATGAAAGTTGGACATTGAATAAGGAAGACCATAGAAGAATAAATGCATTTGAATTGTGGTGCTATAGAAGAATACTGAAAGTACCATGGACTGCTAAAAGGAAAACCGGATCTCTATTGGAAGAAGTAAGGCCAGGGTGCTCCTTAGAGGCAAGGATGGCAATACATTGTCTTACATACTTTGGACATATTGTCAGGGGAGACCAGTCCCTGGAGAAGGCCATCATGTTTGGTAAGGTGGAGGGGTAGCGAAAAAGAGTAATGCTCCTGATGAGATGGATTGACATGGTAGCTGCATCAGTGGGCTTGGGCGTAGGGAGAATGGTGAGGCTGGTTCAGGACCATACAGTGCTTAGTGCTGTTGTGCACACAGTCTCTGTGGGTTGGAGCTGACTTGAAGGCCCCTAACAACAACGTAACAGGCGTGCTGTGACTCATAATCAACTCAGTGGTTTGGCTTTGGAAACTGAAATTTGGCCCACTTTAGGGTATCACCATTCATTTATGTATGGCATAGTATGTTATCATCTTCAGAATGATTGACTTGCATGCAGCAAGTATACTAATAATTAATTGAAAAACTCATTTTTATCAACTCTATGATTTGTACATATTCTTTAGTAAATGTGTTTCAAAATTGTTGAGAAGTAGAAAAATGGCGTGGAAATGTTGGTAACTGACCTCTGGAGTTTCCTTTGTCTTTGAACTTCCAGATCTAGGCAGAGATAGAGAAAATCAGGCTACATCTGAGTCAATCTCAAGATCTCCTCAAAGATGCTTGTTTTTAACTAAAAGACTAAGATGAGCCCATTTACATAAGCTCTAACTCTTCAAGTTGGAGAGTGAAAAAAAAGGTGAAGTAATTGAGGTAAATTTAAGAATTTGAGTAGCTAGATCATTTGCACACCTAGTGGTTGGAATAGAGAAGGACACGGAATTCAACCAGTCCTTTCGTTTGTTTTTAAATAAAATTTTCTTAATTTGCAGCTGATATAATCCTATAGAGAGAAAACCCAAAGAATCAGTTAAACAATTGCTCGAACTAATGGAAAAGTTTGTCAGTGTAGCAGGCTATCAGACCCACATACAGCAATCATTGGGATTCTTTTATAACAAGGGTGATGATAGTGACAAAGACATAAAAAGAACAATGCTATTTATAATAATCACACAAAAGATAAAATATTTAGGAATAAATCTTACCAGAAAGGCAAAAGACTTCTATAAAGAAAACTACAAAACAACTCTTCAAGAAACCGAAGGAAACTTACACAGAAGAAACAAGTTACCATGTCCTTGGATATGTAAACTAAAAGTCGTGAAAATGTCCATGTTACCAAAATTAGTTTGCAAATTCAATGCAAATGTACAAATGTACTTGATACAGTGGATAGATGGATGGATGGATGGATCATGATAAGAGTTGTATGAGCCCCCAATAAAATGATAAAAAAAACCCAATTTTCTTACATTTTCCCCAATAATACAATGACATTTCTATTAAAATTTTAAAATAAATAAGTAAAATTAGGTGTCTATAGGTAAATTCTAACCCACTGGTCTTCATAGCTATTGTTGTACCAGTAGCAGGCTGTTTTGATCACTGTGGCTATGTAATAGGTTTTAAGGTCTGAAAGTGAGAGGCCTCCCACTTTGCTTTTGTTTTTTTAACAGTGTTTTATTTATCCTAGGCTTCTTTCCTTTCCATATAAAGTTGGTAATAAGTTTTTCCATTTCTCTGAAAAATTATGCTGGGATTTGGATAGCAATTGCATTGAATTTGTTAAGTAATTTTGGTAACATCAACCAGTACTTTCATTGAATCAAGTCTTTCTGGAGCTCCTCTACCCAGATAGCAGGTAGTAACTGTCCCCTTATTAACAGGCGAGTGACAATAATTGCAGATCTGGAAGGGATTCAGGGGGAGGACGTTTTGAGACTCTAGAAGAGTCTCTTGTTTGGTTTCAACCAAACAAGATGTCCAGTTGCCTAGAGATGGGCTTTGCGTCCCCACTCCTCACTCCCCCTCATTCACAGTGATATGATTTTTTGTTCTTTGATGCCTGAGATATTCCTGATCTCAGCGGAGAAGTATAGGCTTGATTAAAAACTCAGGAATCAGAGAGCTGAGGACAGGAGTTCCTAGTCTTCCACACTGTAGTTTGGGACAGCTGCTTGCAATTGCAGTTTGACAGCAGCAGTGGAGGTCTCAGGAGCCTTAGTTCTCTCAGTTCATGTGCCTTCAACAGTCAGATGACACGTGCAGTCTGTTCAATAGCGGGGGCAAAACTGGCTGTGAAGTCAACTTACTTCAAAGCCGTAAAGCCTTCCTTTAAAGAATGCTATTTGAAAGCTTAGTTGTCCCACAAAAGGAGGGAAAGGGTAAAGGTGGCAGTTCATACTCTTAGAGAACTAATTCACAAGTCAGTTTTCAACTCTAATAATTTAGCATTAAATCAATCTTCGATAACAACTTTTAAAAATCATTTTATTGGGGTCTCCTACAACTAGTTTCACGAACTGTACATGCATCCCTGTGCCAAGCACATTTGTACATGTGCTGCCATCATCATTCTCAAAACATTTTCCTTCTACTTGAGCCCTTGGTATCAGCTGCTCGTTTTCCCCCTCCCTCCGCCACCCTCCCTCCCTCAAGCATCCTTGATCATTTATAAATTATTATTTTTTCATGTCTTACACTGTCTGAGATTTCCCTTCACACACTTTTCTGTTGTTATATGTAGATCATAGTGATCGGTTCCCCCTTTTCCCAGCCCCCTGACTCCTACCCTCCTGGTATCTCTACTCCCATTATTTTTCCTGAGGGATTTATCTGTCCTGGATTCCCTGTGTTTCTAGCTCTGATCTGTATCAGTATGCATCCTCTGGTCTAGTTGGATTTGTAAGGTAGAATTGGAATCATGATAGTGGTGGGGAGGAAGCATTAAGGAACTAGAGGAAAGTTGTATGTTTCATCGTTGCTACCCTGCACACTGACTGGCTGGTCTCCTCCCCGTGACCCTTTCATAAAGGGATGTCCAGTTGCCTAGAGATGGGCTTTGCGTCCCCACTCCTCACTCCCCCTCATTCACAATGATATGATTTTTTGTTCTTTGATGCCTCAGACCTCATCCCTTCGACACCTCGTGATCACACAGGCTTTTTCCATGTGGGCTTTGTTGCTTCTCAGCTAGATGGCCACTTGTTTATCTTCAAGCTTTTAAGACCCCAGACACTATATCTCTTGATATCCGGGCACTATCAGCTTTGTTCACCACATTTGCTTATGCATCCACTTTGTCTTCAACGATCCTGTTGGGACGGTGAGCATCAAGGAATGCAAGTTTAATAGAACAAAGTGTTCTTGCATTGAGGAAGTACTTGAATAGAGGCCCAATGTCCATCTGCTACCTTAACACTAAACCTGTAAATGTATGCACATAGATCTATTTCCCCATCGTCATATATAAATATATTTGCATATGTACATGTCTGTATGTAAATCTCTATAAATGCCTTTTGCTTCCTAGTTCCTTCCTCTATTTCCTTTTACTTTCCTTTTGTCCCACAATCATGTTCAGCCTTCATTTGGATTTCAGTAATTCCTCTTGGTTACACTGCCCTTGATCAGGCCCTATCAGGCCTCCTATATCATCCTCGCCATTGATTTTGGATCACTTGTTGTTCCCTTGTCCCTGGGGTTGTTAACACCCACTTCCTTTCCCCCACCTTCCCCTCTCCCATGTCCGTCCCCTACCCCTAAACCATCAGTCCTGTTGTTTTCTCCTCCAGATTGTTTATCCCGCCTATCTTATCTAGCTAGACCTGCAGAGATAATAATATGCACAAAAAACAAGGACCTCCGTTGCTTTGTTCCTCTTGCTGTTCTGGTGCACAGAGTTTCGCCTGACTCTGGTGGAGTCAGATGAGGTGCAATTGCCGCACTGTGTCTCCAGTGTTGTCCCCCTGTAGCTCTATGGGTCAGTGAGGGTCTTGTAGTGGGGCCAGCCTTGTGGTCTTCTCTGTGCTTCCGCTGCTCTGAATGGGAATGTTGTCCTCAGGGCTTGGTGGGCCAGGGTATGCTCCGCTCTCTCTTCCTCTCCCTTCATTTGCTCCTGTGTGCTCTGAACAGACATGTGCCTCTCCCTGAGCTGTAGCTTCAGTGTTGTCCTCTGAAGTGA